TGTGTGTGTGCGCGCGCCTCTGTGTGTGTATGTGTGTGTGTGCCTCTGTGTGTGTGTGTGTGTGTGTGTGTATGTGTGTGTGTAACACCAGGTACAACTGTACATCCCCTGACTTTGTCTTTCTCAGCATGCCCAGCTCCAGCCTCAGCGCCCAGCCGTCCGCCCCCAACTGCCAGCCGACTCCCAGCTGTAGTAGCAAGCTGAGCGCAGGCGCTGTGGAGTTCCCCAACAACAACAACAACAAGGGCAACAACCACTACAAAGACGACGGGCCAGCCCACGACCTGTCCCGCGCGGGTCTCTGGGACAATAACGGTCACAACAAGTTCTATAAACTGTCCAACAGCAACGGCGAGACCGCGGGCTCCGGCCACAACCATTCTCTCCTGCCATCAAATCTCAGTGACGTCATCCACAACGCGGAAAGTTACGATTTCAATCTGGGTTCAGATGGTTCAAACGGTATCGACGGTTTGCTGTTCGATCCGGCGACTGCGGAGCTCCTGGATATACCCAACGTCCAAGTGTCCGAGGATTTCCTGCAGAAGTGTATCCAGCAAATACAGCTGCAGAATACGTTAGAGTCCTTTTCCTCTGGTGTTGTGGGTCAAGATCTGGACTTGTCGGATTTTGATCGGAAGTTCGGCTATGCCCCCAACAGCCACAATGGGTGCGGCAGCTTCAGTAACGCTCACGTCGACCACGTGGCCAGAGCTGCGTCACATTCCTCTCCCTCCAGACAGCAGCGGTATCAGCCAGAGCCGTCGAAGTCCGGGCACATCTCGGCGGCCACTCTTCCCAAAGCAATGGCAGCTAAACACGGCGACAACAACTACGGAGGAGGGTATGGCAGTTTACCCACGCAACGAGAGGAGCCCGCCCACCCCCACCAACTCCATGCCCATCCCCACCACGCCCACCAAACCCACCATGCCCCACACCAACAGCACCCTATGTGGCGAGACGTCCCATCCCAACACTCACTATCCCACCTCGACGTCCCACAAAGCCACAGGGAGCACCAGCAGCACAGAGATAATGTAATGCTATCCTCATCCCCTTTCTCACATTCCTCGAAAGAGTTCGCCGGTGCTCAGGTTCCGTCTGTTGCCAAATTCCCGTACCACCACGATCAAAACGCCAACAACTCCTCGTCCCCCTCCGTCTCCGAGTTCTCTCTGTGTTTGGACAACCGCCCGTCGCCCGATTTCTCCCGGTCCGACGTGTCTCCGTGTCTCTCTCCTCGCTCTCCAAGACTGGGCGGTGGCAGAACTACTCAGAACTCGGGCGCTGGTGGTATTGGAAGTGGTGGTGGCAACTATTTCTCCTCATTTGCCACAGACTTTGCTGGTGGTGGTGGTGGTGGTGTTGGTGGTGGTGCTTCTGGGGGTTTGCTGTCCTCCAAGGACAGCCTGGACCTCGATTCCGGCTTGGACAAAGGACTGGCCAGCACTCCAACCTCGTCCTACACCTCTGACCTACTTCTGTCCTCCCCGTCCAGGATGTTGTCGGTCCCCGCGCCCGGACAGAAAGGACAGACGCTCTCACTGCCCTGCTCTCAGGTCCCCAGCCCCCAGCTCCTGTCTCCCATACCGCCACGCATTCCACTGCCCCACGAGGTAAGCCAGCTCCTCCCCCCCCCCCTCCGTGCTCTCTGTGGTTTGCTCTTTCTTTCCTATCAAATATATATCGTCCTTATCTCTACTCTTTCTTGTTTTTTGTTTTTTGCTCTCTTGTAACACCTCTAATCTTCGGCACTTAATGATATATGACCTTATTGTGTTGCCAGTGCTTTAAAATGTTTGCTAAAACTAAAAGATCATTTCTTTTTTTTTTTTGTCTCTTAGCAATCTTGCAGTAGCGGAGTATTAATGCTAAGTGTTTTGTGAAAAATTAAAAAGTTGGTGCGCTGCTGTGTATTAAGTTATGCTTTTTGGGGTTTGTTTTTGGATTATTTATAGTTGCCCCATATGATGAAGCAGCTACTAAATGTGTTCAATGAAAGCTGATTTTGTGGATACTCTGTGAATTGAGCTTGCAGCTTGCTGAACTGTTATGCAGGAATATGCACACCAGTGTAAGCAAAATCACAAAGGAGTTGAATTGGAATTTTATTGAATTTATTTCAGATCAATATCTTTGATGTTGTGGTATTGTTTTATGAGACTGTTCATACGTAAATTCAGCTTTTTGAATACCTCATCTCCTCTCCTCACCCCACCCCCATTCTCACCCTTTCCGGCCCTGTCTTCCTCCTTTCAGGTTCATGGTGACTCCATCTCTCACATGTCTTTCACCGGAGGAGGAGACGAGGTCGCTAGTTTTTCCAGCCCCCACTCATCCCCCTTCCTGCCAGGCCCGTCAGATCTCCAGCTGGCAACAGCAACAGCCTCCTCGCCATCACATCAACAACAACAACAACAGCAGCAACAGCAGCAGCAGCGGCTGTTTGGTGACGCCACGACAGGACACAACAAGTTTTCATTCAGCATGGACCACCAGCGTTTGACGCCGTCCTCTCTCTCCGCTGCCTCCTCCATGCCCACTTCTCCGTCGTTAGCCGTCAACAAGTCGTCGGAGAATGCTGTGGATGCTGCGTTATCACATCAGGTGTGAAATAAACTCCTCCCATCTTATCTTTTCCTGACAATACTTTCTCTTT